CATCGATTTGGGGAGTCGCGCAGGCATTCCGTGACGACACCTCGTTTTGTTCTGCGCGACTCAACCGCGAATGTTTGAGACCCTATTGTTTTGTAGGTTTTTCACAAAATACATGCTGAATTCCATGTATCTATGTTGCTTTGTACGGTTTCAGCAGAGAAAACACTACGTTTGAAGACTTTTGGGACACCCTGTATAGATTCGAACACTGCTCAATTTATCGGCCTCATTTTCCTCCAATTCCAGTAGTGGGCACCTGAAGGTTTTGGGAAAATTGAGTGCCGGACAATCCGGAACTTGAGGGAAGAAATTGAGAACTGCAGAATCACCGAATTTGTTGAAAAGCGCGGTTCATAATTATACGAACACCAAAAATTTTGTAAGTTTTTGGACTTTTTGAGAGAAACTCAAAAAGCCATTGGTACCACGCGATATAACACAGCCGAAAACGGTATGTGATCCATAAGAATGGAAATTGATGTCAACTGTAGGAGTGTTTTTGCGGCTAATCCGAATTTTTAGCGGTTCATAATTATACGAACACCTCAAACAAAGGTCCATTTTTCATTCAAGATTGCAATCGTTTGGGTCCAAATTTTCTTGAAAAGTTACAGTAACAAAGTCTGACATATCTGCTATATACTAAACCCAGTGAAGTTCAAAAAGAGGATCGTTACTTTTTACAAAAGGGGCTAAGTGCTTTCGAAGTGATTGGGCTCCAGAAACATCCGTTCTTCTGTCGTTTACGCGCTCTAATTAGCTTCTACCAAAGCTTTGAGAAGAAATAAGCTCTTGCGATAGGTATTTTATTTAACGCTTTGAAAATCTTTGCGTTTTCGTGCCGTTTTTCAACCAAGTTCCAACCTTACCGCAGAGTTACCACGATTTCGAGCCTCAAAACTCAGCTTCTGAAGCTGTACAATGAAGTAAGCATATAGTATGTAGAAGTTTACAAGACTTTATATTTTCCTAGAAAAAATCAGCAGCGTTGAGCGTTCGTTTTGGTCACGCAGAAGTTTTTTTTAACAGAAATACTTTTTACTATTGCAATCTCACCTTTATTTGGTTTGTAGCTCTACAGCCTCAATATCAGTTCTAGAAAAAACCCAAAAACTTTGGTACAGAAATATCATCATGCAAGCAATGCAGCCGCTTCATATCGAATGTTTTCGCAAGAGAGAAGCTGAGTTTTGAGGCTCGAAATCGTGCTAACTCTAAGGTAAGCTTGGAGCTTGGTTGAAAAACGGCACGAAAACGCAAAGATTTTCCAAGCGTCAAACAAAATACCTATCGAAAGAGCTTATTTTATCTCATAGCTTTGGTACAAGCTAATTACTACTAAAGCTATGAGATAAAATGGTATCTCATAGCTTTGGTAGTAATTAGCTTCTACCAAAGCTATGAGATAAAATGAACTGAGGATGAACGGGTGTTTCTGGAGCCCAATCACTCCGAAAGCATTTAGAGCCTTCTGAAAAAAATGGTCCTCGTTTTGAACTGCACTGAGTTCAGTGTGTAGTAAATATGTCAGACTTTGTTACTGTAGCTCTTCAAAAAATTTGGATTCAAACGATTGCAATCTTGAATGAAAAATGGACCTTTGTTTGAGGTGTTCGTATAATTATGAACCGCTAAAAATTTGCATTAGGCGCAAAAACACTCCTAAAATTGATATCGATTTCCTTTCTTATGAATCATATACCGTTTTCGGCTGTGTTCTATCGCGTGGTATCAACGGCTTTTTGAGTTTCTCCCAAAAAGTCCGAAAACTTACAAAATTTTGGGTGTTCGTATAATTATGAACCGCACTTTATGCTTACAAAGAAGCTCACAGTTCGCGGGAAGCACAGCATAAAGGCGCCGTCCACTCAAAGTGGGGGGTTGACGGAATTATGATGGTGTACTGGCGCGGGCCCCCACACTAGGCAAACCCTCAATTTGCACAGCAAAAGATTGATTCTAGAGCGAGAAATTCGCTCCGAAAGGGACGTAAACCAGTGCGAGTCACTCCGCCCATTTTGCAGGTTTGCAAATGACGCGCCCGGCGTATGTCCGCGCCGCGACCCCGCGACCTGCATCGCGCCCTTCTCCAAAACGGGCTTTTCGAGGTTTTCGGGGATTCTCCACTTCATATTCAAATTCAGAGCCTTCAGAAGGCCTGGAAGCGACAAAAACATGGAAGTCCAGGATTTGGGTGGACGATGCCTCTAACGCCGGACAGACGGTTGCGACCATTGCCTTTTAACGTGGATATCCTCGGCAAAGGTTTGTTTCGTCGACATCTGAAAAATGGCATCAAGCGATTTGCAAGGAAGCGAAAAAGCATAATTGACAGAACATACAAAAGCATTTTACCCATAGAAAACAAGAAAACTTAGGGGAGAGAAATCCGAAGTGCTTTTCCAGGTTTTGAAATTTTTTGTTAAAGAGCCAAAACATTACGAGATTTTCTGCTAAACTGCCTTAAACAGGCTGGAAGCTCTCGGATACATCCAGTTGGTCAGGTGTGCAGTTGAGAAAAAACTTTAGAAAGTTGCGGACAAACTTTTCACGCAATCCAACGATTAATTAGTACGCTTATGAGTCGAGTCAACAAAGTAGATTCCAAACGTCAGTGGGGGACCATTCTGAGTTATTTCATTACAGGATGGTCCATATGAATTATGACGCGAGAAAAAATTCATAACTTTGCAAGGACAATTGAAAACAAGACTTTTGGCTTCATCTGATAATCAGAAAAAATGCATAAGTTTTTTAAAATCACTTTTGAGATGCTTTTCACCTGTTCCGGAAAAGGCATTTAAACCCTTTTCGAAAATTCTTCAATTTGCGCGCAAATTTTTGATTTTTGTGCCAAGTTACCACCGGACTTCCTTTTAGCAAATCAAGCGACATGACTCAAAAAGGTAGACTTTTAGCTCACAGGGGAACAGAAAGGAAGTTCGTGAGGTTAATAAACTCAACGTAGCGCCGTAGAAGCGGCTCAGGCTGGTAGATAACCGAACACTAGCTATACTAATAGTTTATCTATTATGACATAAAATAGGAATCAAGCAATACACTAAGGCGATCAAATATAACAACATGGATCGCTGAGTTGTTGGTCGGGCAGGCATCTGCCTGTAACAGCGGAGGGGTAGCTTTGGGCTGCCAGTCGGTATCCTCCTAGCTCGAGGCTTGATACGGGAATTCCCGGCTTGTGCTCTTAGTGGCGGCTTGTATAGCATACTACGGAATGCGTATCATTCGCCGTATCTGCAACAGTTAATCTTACTCTCATAACATACTAATACCTTATCTGTGTCTTACATCTTGTTCTCATAACATGGCTATCTCGCGTGCGTCCTTATGCACCTACGCTTACAATATTGAGCGAGTTTAAAAGCTGATATTATCCTTCTGATTCTAAAAGACGACTCCACACTACCGCACTACCTTGTTCTCGCAGTGAGCTGGACATGATTCTGCTAAGAACAATCCAGACAGGCTCTTTAGCGCTTGCTTTGACCGAAAAAAGGTAGCACAACCCAAAAGGAGAAGAAACCACAATGGGACAAGCAAAATGAAATGAAATGAAACGTAGACCATCAAATGCTTGAAGCGCTACTTCCAAATCTGCCTTCTTCATCTGCTGTGCGCTCTTTGGAAAGAAGTTATGAACATTTCTTGCCACTAATACATTGTTTTGATAACAGTATTCACCAGTATCGTTGGAATAGTTACTTACGTACTGCAAAAGAGCGCCCAAATAAAATAAAGCATTACGCTCAGTTCAAAAGCCACCTTCGATATATCCGATGTAGAAATCTTGGATAGCAACGATTCTAACTGACTAGATATCGTGATATCGATATGGAGAAAAATCCATAATTTCGTTCAAAGAGTCGTACAGCAGATGGTGAACATAGAGTTAGAATTTTTAAGGCGTTTACTGGTATACATTAATATCCTTTCCTTGTCAGCAGTAAGATTTGAGAGAACTATGTACCCAACATATGAACTAATTACTTTGGCAAACATGTATACTGATTACTTTGGCAGATGAAAATGAACTCAAGTCTCTTTCACTCTGTATGAAAACGTAGTCTTACCAATCGTGTTTTAGTTATAGTAATTACTGCACATCATACGTTTTTTTAATTTCAGCGGAATTTTTCTTGGTTTTTTACTAGCACCTATCTGCATATAGCTTTATATTACTTGATTCTGACGATTGCCTACAATCAGAGGTCCTCAATCTGTTCTAAAGCTTTGGAAATTGTTCAAGAATCCTCTCAAAAACAAAAGAAAAAGAAAACATGGCAGAAAGCAGCAGCATAGAAGAACAACCATCGAGGTTCTCGAGGAAAATTCAAGTACTTTCTACTTTGTCTATATTTTTTTTGAATTCTAAATAGTATTTGTTGAGTTTTATGACTCAAGTTGAGTCTCCAATAGCACTTGATCATGATTCACTCTCAAATACCTTCTCAATTCAGGCTTAGCTGAAGCGGCTCATTCAGGTTCTGGCTCAAAAGTGAGGATAGTAATTTCTATTACTCTTTCTATCGCAACCATGGTTGGAACTATACATGTGTACAACTAGCCTGACAATAGCGATGGGATAAGTTTAGGGGAAAGGCTGCAAAATTTGTTGCACTGATGGGCGTAAAGTAGGCCAATTTCTCGGACTGCTTTTGAGTAATTTTATCGAAAATTTACTTTGTACTACCTTAATCATAATGCTTTTTGAATATTTTTCAACATACTCGAATTTTTGATCCTGCATGAAGCGATTAGCTTTTATTTCATTTACACCATATCAAGCTAACATGCATATTTCCTGCGCTCCGCACCGGAACAAACGAAAGCAATATTCTCTTAGCTTCTACCCTCAAAACGATATGCCCGTAAGCCACCTGTGCAAGGCCTGCACTGAGTGCCCATTTTCTCATCACTGTTTGTATCAAGGCCTTGTGCATACAGATGTTTATTCGGTTTATCTGAATTGCTACTTCGATCTAGGTCTCAAAAATAGCTTTGCCAGGCCACTGCAGTGTTTCAAACAGACATCCGGGTGCCAAATAGGTGCCTTTCTGCAGAGCCCGCTGCAGGCCTAAAATATTCTTATCAATAAAATTTTTACGAGGCTGCTCATTGACGTACGTTGAAAACGATTCCTCCATGACACAAGCACACCAGAAGAGCAACGACGTATTTGTTGATGAGCCACATGTCGGATTCTAGAAAATGCGCAATAGTTTGAGGTTAATAAAAGCATAGCTTGAAGACGATGTTACGGAAAACCACAACTAGTTGCTTAAAATATGGGAGAGGATGAAGAAGAGGGGAGTGGTTAATAGTTAAGGAGTTGTGTAACATGAGCACATTCTAAAGATTTCTAGATTGACGCTTTGCGAAGTTTTCATGTCAGCAAGCATTCTGGCCAAAAAAGCTAGTTGAAATAAGCGGGAGCAAAACCGTCAAGGAGAAAAAAGACTGATTGTGCTTAACACATTCACACTTATATTTGTTTTGCATCGGTTTTATTTGATATCGGAAAGCCGAAGTGCCGTTAAGCGGCCTGGCATACAAATCAGGTGGAACAAATTGCTGTCAAAAGTATACATATAGCGAGAATAAATTGCACTTCAAACAGCCATTAAGCGTTTTCCCTGAAACGGTTTGAACCACGCTCAAGAATTTTTGAAAACTTTTGACATTGTTTGCTTGATACAAAAAGTGCAACACCATAGTACGTTGATCAGAAGAAGCTGTAAGCACTGCCCATATAGTGAGAATCTCGAGTATGTTACACTTGTACAACGAAGAATTTATTATCTAACTAGCTTGCTTACCCGGCTCCGCTCGGCCCTGTCAAAACACTGCAATGAAGGTCCCATCCCTATCCCTGTACAGCCTTCCCTGTGCCCACTTCTAGATTTCATTTCTCGTTCCCTGTGTTGCTTTCGAAATCAGCATGCTCACTACCCCCTGTTCCAACTCCCAGCCCTGTCGCTCAAACTTCGCAAAAAAATCGATGAAGTCGATAAAAGTAATCGATAATTCTGAAAACTAATATCGTATTCGGAATCGCCATGCCCACTTACCCCCCTGTGCCAACTCCCATCCCTGTTGGTCAAACTTTGCAAAAAATCGATAAAAATCGATAAAATTAATCGATAACGGAAAGTAGCCTATGACACGCTCCCTGCCCCGAATGTATGTGTGATGTGTGACGAGTTTGGTCCGAATCCGTTAAGAAATAAAATTTTCTATTTCGCACATACGTACAGACATACAAACAGGCAGCACACATTCAGCTTTATATTAGGTTGTCCCAAAAGTTTTGTCCGTTTCTTCAAACCACTATAAAACCACGCGCAATAAAGACTTGATTGAGTTCTAACGTTCATTCGATGCAGCTTTTCCTTCTCTTTTTTAGCGATAAATTTGATAATGGCCAAAATTCTCCACCCGTCCATTTCATCTACTCAAATTTAGGCTAATTTTTAAAAATTTCAAGCCGAAGTTTTGGAAGGGTTTAAGCATGCGTCAAATAGAGCAACTCTCGGACTACAAGGAAATATGTTTAGACTTTTTTATTCTGCTGTCTTTGGTTTGAAAAAATTATTTTTTCTGAGCTCAATTTTTGGCTAAGTCATGAAACAAGCAACTGCCGCGAAAACATGAAAGCTTTACAAGTTTCTGCAAATAAAGCTTTGTTTGTTATCAAACATTATTTAAAACATAGCCAAGATTGATTTGCTTTGAAAAAAGGAGCTTTTTGGAATTTTCGGTACTTTTACGTGGTAAACGTAACCAAAAATCCGCGGTTTTTATCAAATGAATAATTATAACACACTTGATAAACGTTACCCATGTAATCTAAAATGAGTACAAAGTAGCCAAAGGTTTGCACTACATGATAGTCACGAGCACTCTTTGAAAACTTCAGGATAAAAATTCCTAAAATTTAGGAAGGATTTGGCGTTACTGCTGAGCTGCTCAGAAACAATGGCGATAACATTGCAAAGACAAAGTAGGTCAGAGAGCAATACAGCTATAAGAAAGATGATAAAAATCCAAATCAAATGGTACCTAAATCCTCTATGGATTGGTGTTCTGTAAGTTTTAGTGAGCGATGAAAGAAACGGACAAAACTTTCGGGACAACCTAATATATTTGGTTGTCCCGAAAGTTTTGTCCGTTTTTTCAACCTATCATAAAAACGCGTGGAACGAAGATAGAAAAACGCCCTAAGCGCTACCCGACGCAGCTTTTGCTCCTCTTTCTAACTGTCATGATCCCATGTCGATTACTCTTTTGCTCACTGAGATAAACGCCGAAATTTCGAAACCATGATTTTTACTATGTCCAAGTTTGGCAATTTTCACAATCTTCATTTTCAACTTTTGGATGATCTTTGGTAGCGCTCAGATAGAGTGAACAAAGCGCAATTTTTAGGCCTATCCAGCTGGTTTTTCAGTATTTTTTAAGACAATTTTTCCAAAAGTCTTCACTTTTGCGAAGTCCCAAAGTAGAGAAACGCTTCTTCGAACACTAACAAATCATCGGATTTTGAGGCTTTCAAAAATTGACTACGATTATTCACTATTTTTACAAAGCAACTGAGCGTTTACCGCTTCGAAATATAAGATTTCGCATTTTACGGTACACGCTGGGGCGGGGGTCAAATTCAAGAATTATGGAAATTTTATCGTTAAAGACCCCTTAAATTGGAGAGAAAATATATTCACTGGAAAGAGGAGGAAAAGCTGCATCGAATAACACCTTAGTTATGCGCCGTTTCATGATGTCTGGCTTTTGGCATCACCAAAAATGGAATTTGATAGCATCAGAAAAATTATCTAAAAAAATATTGAAAACCAGCTGGATAAGCCTAAAAATTGCATTGAATTGCGCCTTGTTTACTTTATCTAATTGCTATTAGAGCTTTTCCGAAAGTCAAACTTGAAGATTGTGAAAAATTGCCAAACCTGGACATGGTAAAAACCATGGGTTCGAAATTTCGGCGTTTATCTCGTGAGCAAAAGAGTAATGGGCATGAGAGTATGACTGTTAGAAAGAGGATTAAAAGGTGCGTCGGGTTGTGTTTAGAGCGTTTCCCTATCTTTGTTCCAGGTGTTTTTATGATAGGTTGAAAAAACGGACAAAACTTTCGGGACAGCCTAATATAAGATTATTAAGTCCATTTTCACATTTATTCGCTTTTTTTCTGGTATTTTTTGTCGTATCGGAATGTGTAACTGCGCCCAAAAACACTTATCCTATTCCAACAACTTTTTTCTTTATTCTCGTCTATTGCTGAGTTTGGAAAAAGGCCAAGGACTTCAGATTGGAAGTTGAGGAGGCGATATCTCCTTTTTTGAAGACTTATCTCGCCACCCAAAGGTGGGAGTGCTTACAAAACAGGCTGAAAAATCTGCGATGTGTACGCGAATAGTACTGTAGATTCGTACATTGCCCAGATTTGCTGAAACAATTTTTATTTCGCTTCCTCGAAGATCAGTCTCATTTTTTCTTAAGTTTCAACAGTGGGCACCCGAAGGCATTTGGAAATGATTGCCTGATCTAGGAATTAAGCGCAGAATTTTTGAATTACCAGTTCTACCAGTCAAAAAAAAAACTTGCAATTCGGGGAACATGAAGCTTAAGCGGTAGCGACAAACATTGTCATACGTAGCATTAACCAATGTGCAAGTGTAGATGACATTACCTACAAGATTACCTACAAAAAGCGATTTGTTTCGTTCGTTTTTTACATGTTCGTTAAGTAAATCCTACCCATAGGAAACGACGAAACAAGAGAAACTGTCAAAATGCTTTCCTGAGCATTTATATATTTTTTGTTGAAGAGCCAAAAATCTTATGAGATTTTTTTGCTAGACTGTTGAATAAACAGACTTGGAGCTTTCGAACGCATATATCCAACTGGTAAATAGGAATGCAAGATATTGAGAAAAAACTTTAGAAAGATGTGGACGAACTTTTTACTCAATCTCATGATAAACTGATAAGCTTATGACATTCTCGAGTCAACAAAGGAGATCTCTCACGAATGTCAGTTAGTTAAGGACCATTCTGAGTTATTTTGCTACAGGGTGATGGTCCACATAAAATGTGACGTTAGAAAATCCATAACTTTGCAAGGACAATTGAAAACAAAAATTTGGCTTTATTCGAAAATCAGGAAGTCTGTACATAGAAGGTTTATTAGATCACTTCTGAGGCACTTTTTACCTGTTCCGGTAAAGGCATTTATTCCCTCTGAAACTCTTTCGAAAATACTCCAATTTGCGCGCAATTTTTTGGTTTTCTGTGCCAAATTTACACCAAACTTCTTTTTAGCAAATCAAGTGACATGGTTGGAAAAAGCAGACTTGTAGCTCTCAGGTGAACCATAAAGAAAGTTTGTGAGATCAAGATTGGTGTGAAAAGCTAATATTATCTTCCTGACTGTGTAAAAGTTGAATTCTACACTACTGCTGCACCATCTTCTTCTCGCAGTGAGCTGGGTATGATTCTGCTAAAAAAATCCAGACAGACTCTATAGCGTTTGCTTCGACCGAAAAGCGTGCCAAACCCAAAAAAGGAAAACCACAGTGGGACAAGCGAATTGTGGAAAGACAATAATCATCAAAACATGGCACGAAATAGATTTAAAAATAGGTTTTTTGAAGCCCTCGCCATGTGGACCACATAAAAATACTGTTTGGCCTTCCAGCTTGTCCGATCTTATGCCCACAGGTTTTCTCTTCGATCTATCTGGAAGCAAAAAAAATTGCATCTTACAACTCTGTGTTACTTGATTCGCTAAAAAGAAACCCGTTGAGAGCTTCAGTCGAAATTCCGCCAAAAAGCATTACGCGCATCTTGAAAATTTTCCAGAGAGAATAAATTCTTCTCCCTAAGATAAAGGGCGGTTCGTGGAAGTAGCATATGATATGTACGTTGAACTTTTTTTCCCTCAGACTCCCCTGGACCACTAGCTGTGCAAATGATAAGATGATTTCAAAAATTACTTATTGTTTACCTTTCGCATTACACATGTATATGCAGCATCAATTTTGTATTAATCTCCCAGTATTTGTTCTAAACCGCAACAGAACGAGCACAAGTAGCGCTAACAGGTCGTCTGGGCTATAGCCGTTCCTCTTTCACTCTAAAAAATCACAAAAAAAGACTTTGCTAGATTTTGAGAAGTGTTTAGCTCTTATTGCCACGCGCCTCAGTGATATAAGGGGAACACGGGACTCG